AGGGTGAACGTGAGAAGTCAGGTTCTCTTCGGGGATAACTGGGAAAATAATATAAAAGGTCTAAGGCTTCTGACTTAACTTCAAAATACTTTCATGTAGAAGGGACAGTATTGCAGATCAACAGTTATATTTAGTGATGCACCGAAATTAGCGCGTTAAAAAAATTGACGCATTTTAACCGCATGTTTATTTTCCACCGCGGAACGTTCCTCTCTGGAGGATGAGTTTCAGACGGACCGATTATACTGGAGCGCCAACTGAGCTCTGTGACTTTTCTTGTTCAAAAGTACATTATAACAAGCATAGACCAACTCTAACTCTGAGTGAGTTAGAGGCAGCTGTGTGTGGAGCAAAGGTCTGTGAGGAGGAGGAGGAGAAGGAGCAGCGAGACACAGGTGTGTGAGCTGCTATTGCTGATGTTTTAGTAATTTAGTTCAAATGCACAGATCAAAAACGTATTATGAGCTTTTGCACTCACTTCGAGTGCAGTGGATTTTGGGCTTAAGAAGTGTATGTTGTGGTCAGTGTGTGTGGAGGCGATGACAGAAACGTTAGTCCGTCTGATCCTCCAGCTTACAGTATGTATTCAGTCATTATTCAAAGGTAAACTAAAAATCCATGTGAAAAAAATTACTTCTCACTGTTCTCAGGACAGTGAGAAGTGGACCTTGCTCCTGTGGACTCACCACCTGCAGGAGGATCAGTGAGGGGCTGGTGCTCTGTGACTGGGTGCTGCTCTGACTGCCACCCCCCCAACCCAGAAATGGATTAAGGGGAAGAAAATGGATGGATGGATGGATGTTCTCAGGACAAATATTTATATGCGAATTACAAAGCCTCTAATTAATTAGATTCATATTTTTAATCGAGTCCCAGCCCTAATATATAACAAAATGTTTTAATAACCAAAATCATGAATCTCCAATAAATATGTTTTTACTAGGGCTGTCAAAATTATCGCGTTAACTCACGTTAATTACATTTTTTATTAACGCGTTATTTTTTTTAAACGCATTAACGCATGTCCGAATGACCCGCCCATTTATCCATAAGAATATCACTCAGAATGCTGCGTGTGAGATGGCCTCCTCCGTGGCCGCTCTGGTTGTTGTTAGCGGCTGTGAGTAAGTGCAAGCTTTGCGCGGGCTGCAAGCATGGATCTAGCTATTATAATAACAGCAGCAAGCGATTGCTCCGTTCACATACTCAGCGCTCTGCGCACTGTATTTTCCCTGGTTCTTGTCTGTCAGGCGTGAGTGTTGCTCGTGTGTGTCTTTGGGAACTAATTATTTTAAAATAGTCTCTTTCAATTGCAAGTTTTGTAATCTGTTTGTTTGATCAATGGATAAAAATAAATGCAATTTAATTAAATGGCACCTTGGCCTGTCGTATACCTGTTTGCCTGCAGGACAGTTCCCTAAACTAACATATCATACTAAAATAGGGTGGGGTTGTTGCAACAATTAATCTACTTAGAAGTTATCCTAAATTACAGCCAGCTAAAACTCTGTACCACAACAAACAAAAAAGTAACGCAATAGTTACTTTTACTGCTAACTAGTTACTTTTATAGTGGAGTAACTCAGTTAGTAAGTCAATTACTTTTTGGAAGAAGTAACTAGTAACTATAACTAATTACTTTTTCAAAGTAACTTACCCAACACTGGTAATTATATTTGATAATCTCATTTAACTTCAATTGGAGTGGATTTGAAATAGAATGTTAAACATGCGATTAATCGTGAGTTAACTCACCATTACTATGCGATTAATCAACTAAAAAAATGTAATCGTTTGACAGCCCTAGTTTTTACCATTGTATTTATCTTCAGAAATGACTGATGCTGTTTTCTGTTAAAGGAATAGTTCACCGTTTTTACATACTGACATATGTTCTTACCTTACCTTAGACTAGTTAATACGTACCTGTCTGGTCTTAGTCCGTGCGCTCTGTCATGCAAACGGAGCAAAAACGGGAGCACAAATGCAGCCTCCTCTGTATATTTTGTAGCACCAAAAGGTAGCTCCCGCCAGAAGCTACCAAACTCTTCCAAGTGTTCCCTATTAAATGTATATAGTTACGTGACGTGTTACACTGCAAAGTATAGTAACACAGAAATGTAACAGTCGATTTTCTCAGCGGATAAAACGGGTACTATATTGTGAGGCGTAGTAATCTGAGGAGCGCTACGTCCGCGCACTAACTTCTCTCCGTACTACAAGTCACGCTGCTTCTATTGACGGAAGTGAGCGAGAGAGAAGTCTCCGGAGAGAAGTTAGTGCGCGGACGTAGCGCACCTCAGATTACTACGCCTCACAATATAGTACCCGTTTTATCCGCTGAGAAAATCGACTGTTACAATTCTGTGTTACTATACTTTGCAGTGTAACACGTCACGTAACTATATACATTTAATAGGGAACACTTGGAAGAGTTTGGTAGCTTCTAGCGGGAGCTACCTTTTGGTGCTACAAAATATACAGAGGAGGCTGCATTTGTGCTCCCGTTTTTGCTCCGTTTGCATGACAGAGCGCACGGACTAAGACCAGACAGATACGTATTAACTAGTCTAAGGTAAGGTAAGAACATATGTCAGTATGTAAAAACGGTGAACTATTCCTTTAACATTAGATACATATAAAAGGGGTAAATATACGTAAAAGGAAATACGTTTTTGCACGTTGAATTTTGTAATGCTTTTGAATAAAACAATCTGTTAAAAATCGCAATAATATTGAATTGTAGCCCAGATTTTGCAATACTATCGAATCCTGACTTTTTGCCAATTCCCATCCCTAATTTTCACACCTGCCCGACACGGCGTGTAAATTATGACCATATCGGCCAATATTATATCCGCGGAAAATCTAAAATATGATAAAACTGCCTCTAATTTATGATATTGTGGCCGTTTCGTATCATGGTGTATCAAACATGAGTGAAGAATCTCAGTCAAACTCTGAATGGAAAAGATGAATGGGATAAAAACGGCAAAGAAAGTGCATCTCATAACCTTGACTTTAAGAGACAATATTATCATTATTTTACAGAAACAATCCCACACATTACATTGAAACACAGAAAATAAATGGTTCAGGCTCCTTTTCATGGGTCTAATGTTTATATGCAGCTGAGGCCACGGGTTCAAAACTCATCATTGTAACTTTATTGAAACTGTTGAGACGCAGCTCGGCCCAAAGAGAGCAGCGTTTATATTCACTGCATTTATATAAAGGATTTACTGAAACATTTTTATATTTGCTCAAGTGGAAGTCTCTGAACACAAGGTGACGAGAAAAACTCAACTTGGAAAGATTTTGCATCTCAAACTTGTATTTATTTTCCAACTTATGCTAAATAGGACATTTTTATAATTTAGTACTGTATTTTTATAAGCGGCACGGTGGCTGAGTGGATAGCACTCTCGCTTCTCAGCCAGTGGGGGAGGGTCCCAGCTCAAAAGTGGCCAAAATGACGTGCGCTGACATGCTTGCAGTACCACCCCGGGCCAAAGGGGGTGGACCCAGAAGTAGAATTAGCCAATGCTAAAACGTCTTTACAGGATGGACCAAAAGTCGGCTCTTGGCCCAAAGCTCCGTTCCACATGTGTGTCAATGCTGAGGGGGGTTTGGTCCGCTCTAGTTTACTTGCTGTGAATTTTTTAAGTCTCTCGTTCAAATGAATGGAGCTGCGCCGGCTGACGCATGCGCAGATGCGTTTTTTTCACAATTTTCTTGTGGGAGGGACCACTCACGGCCATTTTGGATTGCTCCAGTAGAGCACATTTTTTGGCCCATTAGTTAGAACGGCGGAGATAGACGTGACTCTGTCCATTAATATATACAGTCTATGTTCTCAGCAAGAAGGTCCTGGGTTCAAATCCCAGTCGGAACAGGGCCTTTCTGAGTGGAATTTGCATGTTCTCGCCGTGTCTGCGTAGGTTTCCTCCGGGTACTCCAGTTTTCCCTACCACTAAAAACATGTACATTAGTTCTGGCTTGTGCCTCCTGTATATCTCCATCTCTGTGTGGAGTGAGAGACAAATGCCCACAATTGTAAATCGCTTTGTGACTCTGGTCTGTGAAAGGCGGTACATAAATAAACATTACTTACTACTAAGCTGCACTGGCTACATTATTATTATTGTGTGTGTGCTCCCTGTATAAAGAAATAATACCGATATTGTGATTTCATTTACCTACATATTTACGTCTTTTTTCCCGCACTTAGTTTGAACGCTGGGGCTTAGACTTTGGTGTGGCTTCATTTTTATTTTATTTTTTCATAATACCTCACATTCCCTGTTAGTGGGTGAATAATCCAACGCTTGGTGCATGCAGAGCGGCTCAATGATGCAATAATTTGAAAATGAAAAATATTGGACAGTTTATGGCTTCAGACTCGAGTGATGAGTGAAAAATAATCTGGCTGGGAATGTAAACTCAAGCACAAAGGCATGTCATGTTTGTTTGTATAGCGCAGTTCAAACACAAGGAAACTCAAAGTGCTCAATAAAACAATAATAATATCACACAAGGCGTTAAAATCAAACTGTCACAGTGCGTTAACAAGACTGAAGATACAATCCTTCAGTCGTCTGCACAGTTGTCAATGTAGATGCATGAATCTGAAATGTGTCTCCCCCATGTTTAGTCCTGATTCTGGGCACCAGCAGGACTCAGGAGGCCAGTCCCTGTGCTCCTCAGAGTCTCAGCAGGAGGCCAGTTGCTGTTGGTTCATACGTCACTTACATGTCACTAATGTACTTTAATGCGAGTACATAAACAGAGCTAATTTAAAGTCCTTTCTCTGAGCCACAGGAATCCAGTGCAGAGACCTGAGAACTGGACTAATGTGATGGTACTTCCTGGTTCTAGTCTCGTCTAGAACCAGGAAGTACCATCTAGACTGGAGCTGTAGCGTTTTGAATATCCTCTAGCTTTTAAACTCTTCCTTTCATCCGCCCGGTGCACTGACCCTGAGACATTTGTCGCCTCAGGTACAAGCTGCGTGACCTGTTAGCGCAGACGGCTAACGGCGCGAGCGGCGGCAGCACAGGGAACCTGTCCGGCGGCTGCAGCTCCGGAGTGGGCAGCGTGGACAGCATCAGCCGGGACAGCCTCCGCGGCAACGACCTCTCCGACGACCTGGTGGGCATCGACCGCTTCAGCGAGGAGGAGGAGCTGGAGCGGGAGCGCAGGGGCGACAGGGTGCCGGGACACAGCCGCAAGCAGAGACAGCCGCTCCGACTCCAGGTAAGAGGCGAAGAGGCAGGAAGGAGGAGGAGGAGGAAGATGTGGGAAGGAAAGGGAAGGGAAGGGGGAGGTTGCCATGGTTACAGCTTTCAGGCATGCAGAGCTGCAACGCGGTGCTTTTTCCTTTTTCTGTTTCTGCTGGCTTTCCCTCTTCTCACTGCATTGCCGTATAGAGCTGAGATGTTTCGGCACTTTGCACACTCGGAGACGAGCCCGCGCCCCAACTTCTACCACCACTACACCTTTTGCCTTCTTGTTCTATGGACTTCTGCATATTTACTGTACGTCGTTAAACTTGTCGGAATAAGGACAATCCAGCCCCTGCTGCTGCTGCTGCTGCTGCTGCTGCTGCTGCCTTCTCTCTCTTTTGTTGCTCTATCTCCGCTACTAATGCTTCTGCTTTTCCTGCTAATGCTGCTCTGTGTGCCCCGTCTGTGTGTCAGTAGTCTTGACTCTTGTTTTGCTGTGTGTGTGTGTGTGTGTGTGTGCGTGGCAGGTGCTGGGGGGAGAAGGCGTGGTGGTGAAGGATGAGGGGGTCCAGGACGCGGATGGGTCGGTCTATGCGCTGGAGGACGGGCGCAGGGGGCCAGAGCACCCGGACGCACAAGAGACCATGGCGGGATTCGGACAGGTCAGCCACGGGACTGTTGTGTGTCACTGCAAAGGATTGTCAGTTACACACACATAAAGTTGCGTTTTGAGTGAATCATGAACATTGGAGTAATTTATGTGTGTGTGCTTGCTTTGCTCAGATGACACTCACTTTCTTTATCTCTGTGACGCAAAGATCCTTTAAGACTGACATTTTGGCACAGATGAAAAAAATATGTACGTTTTTATAATCTATGTTTTTATTATATTGCCAACTTGTACACACATTTAGTTAAATCTAAGTTCTAAGTACATATTTAAAATGAAAAGTATGTGTGTGTGTGTATGTGTGCGTTTGCGTAATGTGTGTGTCTCTCTGTAGACGTTTGTTTGGGTGTGTGTGTATGCGTATTTGCATGTGTCTCCGTATATGTGTGTGTGTCTCTTTTTCTTGGTTTGTGTGTCTCTCTGTGTTTGTCTGTGTGTGTGTCTCTCTGTAGACCTTTGTGTGCGTGCGTGTGTGTATGTATGTATATTTGCGTGTGTCTCCATATGTGTGTGTCTCTTTATCTTGGTTTGTGCGTCTCTCTGTAGCCCGTGTGTGTGTCTCTCTCTGTGTGCTTGTGTGCATGTGTCTATGTGTGTGTGTCTCTTTTTCTTGGTTTGTGTGTCTCTGTGATTGTCTGTGTGTGTGTCTATGTGTGTGTGTCTCTCTGTAGCCCCTGTGTGTGTGTCTCTCTGTAGACCTTTGTGTGCGTGCGTGTGTGTGTATGTATATTTGCGTGTGTCTCCATATTTGTGTGTCTCTTTATCTTGGTTTGTGCGTCTCTCTGTAGCCCGTGTGTGTGTCTCTCTCTGTGTGCTTGTGTGCATGTGTCCGTATGTGTGTGTGTCTCTCTCTGTGTGCTTGTGTGTGTGTCTCTCTCTGTGCTTGTGTGTGTGTCTCTGTGTGTGCGTGCATGTGCGTGTGTGTGCGTGCATGTGTGTGTGTTTTCGTATGTGTGTGTCTCTCTAGACCTGTGTGTGTGCGTGTGTACAAGTGTTTGCATGTATCTCTGTATGTGTGTGTGTCTCTCTCTCTCTTTCTCGGTTTGTATGTCTCTCTCTGTGTGCTTGTGTGTGTGTCTCTGTATGTGTGTGTGTCTCTCTGTAGCCCCTGTGTGTGTGTGTGTGTGTGTGTGTGTGTGCGTGCATGTGTGTGTGTCTCTCTGCAGCCCCTGTGTGTGTGTGTGTGTGTGTGTGTGTGTGCGTGCATGTGTGTGTGTTTCCGTGTATCTCCGTATGTTTGTATGTCTCTCTCTCTCTCTTTCTCAGTTTGTATGTCTCTCTCTGTAGCCCGTGTGTGTGTCTCTCTGTGTTTGTCTCTGTATGTGTGTGTGTGTCTCCGTATGTGTGTGTGTCTCTGTATGTGTGTGTGTGTGTATGCACAAACTTCTGAGCATAACAAACTAGCAAACCCAGATACAATTCCAACACTGGAAAAACCGCATTGACTCGTTACATTTAAGCCTCGCAGTCATTAAAACATTGGAATTATTAGATTAAAAAACCAAAAATACACTTTCAACTTCAAATGACAAAACCACTTTATAATTGACTAGATTAGGCACGAGGCTGTCTCAGATGGCACGTCGTTAGGAGCCAGCCGGTGATTTAAAACTTAAATCCGTTTCTGCTGTATACATTAGTCGTATGTGAATATTATAGAGTGAATCCCGGTGGCTTTTCGCTGGATTCAAGGAGAAACAGTTGGAGTAGATTCTGCCGCAGCCTGCTGTACTCTGCAACATCTGCCACACAGAAACCACTCCGCTCTCAGACGCAGGCAGGTGCAGGTGTGGAGCCCATCCAGACAGCAGTACACACAACACTACACAACAGTACACACACACGATAACCCTGCGCTACACTACACCACACGACGGGATACATACAAACTCATATGTTGCAGAATTTTCCCCACACTGCTGGACGGATAAATGATCTTTTAATCTTGCACTACACAACATTACACACAACTACATACTCTACAAAACCACGCACACTACACAACAGTACACACACGCTAACGAACGCCACACAACACCACACGACGTGATACATACAAACTCATATGTTGCAGAATTTTCCCCACACTGCTGGACGGATAAATGATCTTTTAATCTTGCACTACACAACATTACATACACTACACAACATTATACATACAACCATGTACACTACACAATAATATACACACAATCAAGTAGGCTACACAACATTATGCATACAACTTTGTACAAAACACCTGAAAATCCTCACAGTGGGACAGATAAATGATCTTTTAATCTTACACTACACAACATTACACACAACTACATACTCTACAAAACCACGTACACTACACAACACCACACAACATAATACATACAACCCTGTACACTACACCTGAAATGTTCCCACTGGGACGAATTAAGGGTGAATATTGCACTACACAAGATTATACAACAATGCACACTACACAACACACACAACAATAGACACACAACCAAGTACGCTACACAACATTATACATACTACCACATACACTACTCAACCTTTCCCTGAACAGCTGTATAAAACTAGCTTTAGCATAATAAAATAAGTATAAAACTAGCTTAGCATAATAAAATAAGTATAAAACTAGCTTTAGCATTATAAAATAAGTATAAATCTCTGGCGTTAGCATAATAAAATAAGTATAAAACTAGCTTTAGCATAATAAAATAAGTATAAAACTAGCTTTAGCATAATAAAATAAGTATAAAACTAGCTTTAGCATAATAAAATAAGTATAAAACTAGCTTTAGCATTATAAAATAAGTATAAATCTCTGGCGTTAGCATAATAAAATGAGTATAAAACTAGCTTTAGCATTATAAAATAAGTATAAATCTCTGGCGTTAGCATAATAAAATAAGTATAAAACTAGCTTTAGCATAATAAAATAAGTATAAATCTCTGGCGTTAGCATAATAAAATAAGTATAAAACTAGCTTTAGCATTATAAAATAAGTATAAATCTCTGGCGTTAGCATAATAAAATAAGTATAAAACTAGCTTTAGCATAATAAAATAAGTATAAAACTAGCTTTAGCATAATAAAATAAGTATAAAACTAGCTTTAGCATAATAAAATAAGTATAAATCTCTAGCTTTAGCATAATAAAATAAGTATAAATCTCTAGCTTTAGCATAATAAAATAAGTATAAATCTATATTCTGAGACGCATTTTTTTAGATATTGTGGGAAAACGTCCCTAAACCCTAAAAGTAGTCACGTTATCATGTGTTTTCAAATAGTAATGGACTTGACCAGATGCCTGTAGTCTACAAAAAATAATTAAAAATATTTTGGAGCGGACCACAAAAAACGAACCAATGGGATTCGTTTACCCCCTTCACCCACTTCCTGTTTATCGGATTTTCTAAAACTTTTAAAAGCGCTGAACAGAAAACGCAAATTTAACGTTTGCCGCTCCCACTCTCCCTGTTGTGACAAAGAAAAAGAAAATGCTGGATGTTTGGTTTGGTGGAGAGGGAGGGGAGGGGAGGGGGGGAGTGGTTTCCAGTTGGTACTATACGGCTAAGCTAACAAAATTGCGTACTGCACCTTTAAGACCAGGGTCCTCTTTTAAGACCTAAACATTTAACATTTGTAGACATTGGTCGTCCGCCCCTTATGAACCAATGGCTTTATGTTTTTTAACTATGGCTCGAGCTGTTTGATTCTCTGATCTGTGTTGTTGAATCGACAGCTTTGTTCAGTGATTTAGGGCGAAGCATAAATAAATTGGATTGAGCGTTGAGTAGAGCGCCCTCTGAAACCTGCAGAATGTTTGGGAGTTCCCTTATGGCTGAGCAAACTGAGGGCCTCTGTAATCTCTGTGCGACGTGGGTGGTTGTGTGTTTTGTCAATGACATATGTATTCATTATTATATTATTAGTTTAATGGGAAAAAAATGTCTTCCTTTTTTTATTTACCCTATATTATATCACATAAACACACACACACAGTGGCCCTGGACAACAACAATAGCAAGTAATTACATGAAAAACTGTCCAAAATATTAGCATTAGCATAATAAAGAAGTATGTATAAAACTCTAGCTTTAGCATAATAAATAAGTATACATCTCTAGCGTTAGCATAATAAAATAAGTATAAATCTCTAGCGTTAGCATAATAAAATAAGTATAAAATTAGCTTTAGAATAATAAAATAAGTATAAATCTCTAGCGTTAGCATAATAAAATAAGTATAAATCTCTAGCGTTAGCATAATAAAATAAGTATAAATCTCTAGCGTTAGCATAATAAAATAAGTATAAAATTAGCTTTAGAATAATAAAATAAGTATAAATCTCTAGCGTTAGCATAATAAAATAAGTATAAATCTCTAGCGTTAGCATAATAAAATAAGTATAAAATTAGCTTTAGAATAATAAAATAAGTATAAATCTCTAGCGTTAGCATAATAAAATAAGTATAAATCTCTAGCGTTAGCATAATAAAATAAGTATAAATCTCTAGCGTTAGCATAATTAAATAAGTATAAAATTAGCTTTAGAATAATAAAATAAGTATAAATCTCTAGCGTTAGCATAATAAAATAAGTATAAATCTCTAGCGTTAGCATAATAAAATAAGTATAAAACTCTAGCGTTAGCATAATAAAATAAGCAAAGGAAGGTTTCTCACCCATCATCTGTACTTCTTAGCAAGTTTTCCCGACGTTTCGTCCTCAACCTGGGGACTTCTTCAGGGAATGAATTCTCGGACCGCGCGTTGGAGATTTATAACCTATGGGTGTGGTAAGCCACACCCTAATCCTGATACTAACTAATAAACAATCTCAGGTCTGCTTGATGTAGAAGGGAGCAGGTCTAACGACCCTGCTGAGGCTAACGACCCTAACTCCTTAGCATGTCACAGACCTATTGTCTGCTGGGATGCTCAAGTGGAGTGCAGGTTTCACCCCTCCTAACTCATTAGCATGTCACTGACCCTGTCCCAAGTTAG